AAAAAATCCACTAAGTTCTGAAAGCACTAAATGTTCACATGACTAAAGCAAGCAGAGGTTGTGTATTTGTCTGCAGCTGCATCTGAGCAACGCGTGCAAGGTGTGCACGGCGCCACAACTCAAACTCCGACGTCTAACCTTCATGATTCAGTAATTTAGCGGGTTTAGATACACTCCACATCAAGCTGTCAGTCAAGCCCCGGCGGCTGTGTGTTTCCTGACCTCGCTGAGCCCGTCTCAACATCTGTCCTCTAACCACAACTGTCACGTCTCACGCACCAGGCAATATGTCTGAGTCCATCTGAAATAACACCCAGAAAAAGACAGAGGGGAGCCGGCTACTCGCTGTCAAAGCCCGCAGACATTTACCATCAAACATTTCGTGTCAAAGCGAGGAGCCAATTTGAGATATTCACACATTGCACAGAACCACGATTTGAAATAAAATTCAGTTGGCAGGTCCACATTATGGCACAATGTATGTATTTAATTTAAATACAAACATCAGAAGGTGTATTTTATGTAATGAACCAACATAACATGTTAGAAGATATGGTAGAGGAAAATAGTTTGAGCTTTGGTATTTACGCCCTTTGACTCAAAAACTACAATGATATTTGGAAATCAGAGAATATACTGATTATGCCTGGCACAAAAAGCCTCAAAGACAAACATACTAAAGAAAGGACCCAACCAACCAATCAGCATGATGGACAAATCAAGACCAAGGTCGACTTAGTAAGATATTCTGCTTATCCCTCAAGGCACTCTCTGAATGACTATGACACTTTGGCGAATGTCATAAGAACAGAACAACTAACCTTGATACAAGAAAATATGTCATTTATTAGAGAAGAAAGGAAAATACACCAATGATGCTTCAAAATGTTAAAATGGACAAAAGAGACGGTCAGATTTCTGGCTCTGGGTTAATAAGACTACTCCTGTCCTTTCTTTATAGAAAATAGTCATTGTTTCAACAAAGAATAAGCAACATTTGAAGCTCAGCAAAACTTCACTTTCAACAAATGCAGAATGAGGTAATGTAGGTCAGATGAGACTAAAGGTGCATCCAGACCAGCTCTGTTTAGTCCTCTTTAATCGAGATCTAATTTATTTGAATTGAAAATCCAGTTTGTTTGGGAAGGTGAGAATATGTAATCGAACTCTGATATGGACCAAAAAGTGAACTCTGCTCCACCTAAACACCTAGGAACCGGTTTGGTTAAAGTGAACTCTGTCGCAGTTCAAAGTCAAGTGAAGCTAACTGCAGCGCAAGGCATCCTGGGTAAATACAACCAAAACAAATTCTAGTGATAGTTTGAGAAATGGCTCGTGGTCTTTAACCAAAAACAAAAGAGAAATCCTTTAAGTGCTAAAATCTGATGCTACTCCATTTTGGTTTACATTTATGGAGAAGGAAATACAATACTGATTTCTCATGTCTTCTTCAGAGGCTTTCATGTTGTTTCCTTCAGTAGTTCTTGCTGCAGTGCCTCCACAGGCGACTGGGTGAACAGGTTTTTCAATAGTTTGGATCGTTCCACAGGGCAGTGTGAAACCAAAACACACCAGCTGAAAATGTAACATCGCAATTTTGGTCCCCAATCGAACTGAGTCTGCTGGACTATCAGGTATGAAAACATTTCAGCATCACACAGCATTGGTTTTTCCAGTTGTGCCAGGAATTTTATCAAAATTAAAGGAATACTAGATGTCGACTTATACACAGACAACTACATACTTTCTGAGGTGTATGCAGATGCATTATAGATGCCCCAAACCAAGCCAAGAGTTTTCAATGCGCAAATTTGAAAGTATGCCTTACAAGACTTCACGATTCAAATGAAAGAAATCTCTCAAAGGGTGCATGCTTGGGGATATATGCAGTAGATATATGCAGATATATTCAGTACCTCAAGGAAAAAAACAGCATTTACACATCTAACTGCATGCTACAAGCAGAATTCCCTTCTAATAACTTGACATTTTCAAAGCCGTTGGCACTTATATGAGAAGTGTTTGAAATTTGACCAATTGTGATCAAAAGTCAATTTCTCAAAATATTTCTAGTCTCAAACACCATACTCTATTTAAATACATTCTATTAAAAAACTAAAAAAGTTAATTCAAATGTGACTAGTACAAAAATATGATTGCTATTTGTTGTACGACAAAAAAATTCACGAGGATAACCAACCGTCTGCTGTGATTTTTGCGACACTGAAAACTGAATAAAACATGATACTGATTTCTTATATCACAAGATCAAAAGCCAAAGAGGAATATTTGGCCTTCAGAGTCAAAACGCCACTTCATTAACTTTTAGTTCAACAAAGTTCAAAATTCTGTACACTTATAACATAGTGCAGAACATTGTTAAGAAGCGTTGGTTGCCAAAGCTCTAGAGGCCGTATATATCTGAACAACACATGAATTGCAAAATAAACGGCGTCTCAAAATACCCCAAAAATAAAGTCAAGGAAGTTCCAACCAATCAGCCGGATAAAAACTGGACAATCCACCAATTAGATTTCAGCTGCTGAATATCACCTGTGTGTCGGATCTAGAAATAGAAACCCAACCTTTGCTACACACAGGAGAAGTGTGTCAGTTTAAAAGATGAAGACCTGTCAAAGAACCTCGACGCAGGTTAATAACGGAATAACTCGGGAGGCAGACTGAAGACGTGGAGGGAAAATATCCCGACATTTTCTTGCAGCGAGACGAGACAGACGCGTCGGAGATCTGAGAGCACCGAGCTTCAGCTGTGATAGCTTACCGCATTGGCAGCCGCTCCACCCACATCCCCAAAACTTTTCCACTTGCCTCGTTTGACATCTACTCTGCAGGCAGAGGCAGATGCCCTTGAAGTTTCAATAAGGGTATGAAAAAAAAAACAACACATTTTTTTAATAGCAACCCACAGTTACAGTTGATCAGAACATCATTTTGAAAAGCCAGTGGAGTAAATAAACGTAGCTGTGTAAAACCAGAAAAAAAAAAAAAAAAAATAAAAAAAAACTTGGATAATTTTAGTAACAGAACAAAGAAAGGAGAGGAAAGATGGAGAGAGAGACAGAGAAACACACAGAGAGAGAGAGGCTCAGATGGAGGTAAAGTGTCAGGAGCAAACCTTATTGATCTGGAGTCTTAATTAACCGTCGGATGCCTCTGACTCAGTGTCTGATCTTCCATGATCAGTGGCAGAGTGGCATCGCTCTCGGGGGAGTTGGAAGAGAGTGGATGAAAACGAAACAGGAGAGTGGGCGGGCGAAGGGCAGAAGGGCAACACTACATAAAAAAACCGGCTACAAATTCACTCAAATTTCTCTAAAGCAAATATTCGACTTAAAATCTGAAAAGAGAACCAACCCTGTTTAGCAGTTTCTCAAGAACCTCCTGATTTCCCGAGAAGGGAGGAGGGGATAGCCTCTTGCCACGCTCTGTCGTCCCTCGCGCTGATGCAATCACCTTCAGACCCTGACCGTGGATATGTGAACGGTTCTGTCAACGTTGAGATGACAGCGGTGACTGCTTGAGGATTGAATTGCCAATTCTAATCTACCTAAGAAGCCAAGATCTTGGCCCGCTGATTTAATTCGGGCCAGAATTGGAATTGACCCAAATGAAACCGGTGGAGTGGAGTGAAAGTAGGGGGGATTGGGGCTGACGTTAATCCCTGGAGGGTGGGAGACGGGGTGGGGGTGGTTGAACAGCGAAATTGTGCTTGGTGGAATGTGAAGAGGAGAGATTGGGCTTTGAGGATGATGTCGCTCGAGACCCGGAAGGAAGGAGGTGGAATGTGCATTTTATGAGCGCAGTTATTAATGTCAGGCAACGAGTTCACGAGGTTAGCTGCTCAAGTACATATTCTATTGATCTAAAAAGAAAAGTACTCAGTGGTTTCCATAGGCTACAATTTAGACTTTTTTGCCACAAAAGAATGACTAAAAATGTCAAAGTGAAAACTAATACCCATAAAGAAAAAAAGTGATAAATCAAAATATTTAACACAAAATAAGTGTTTGCATGGATATTCACCACCTTTAAAGGGAGAGTATTAGGTAAAATTGACCTTTTTGAGCTTTACATGATGTTATAATGTTATTCCTTCATCAAAAACATACCTAGAGTATTGCTTTCATTATTTTATGCATGTTTGAGAAATCCTTTAATCTACCCTGGCAACCATTCAATTATGCAAAACACCTGGGAGGATCTAGCCCCCGCCTTAGAGACACAGCTCCTTCTCAGAGCTGCAGTTTCCAGGCTTCTGACTCCCCCACTCAGCTCCTTCAGACTATCCAGCAACAATTAGCAAACACCTGGTGGAACTGTCTATCTGCTGAGCTCATTATATGAGCTACTTCTGGTAAAACCTTTTTATGCTGGTAAAAACATTAAATGTTTAATAGAGGAACCATGTTGTGATGACTTCCTGGAGGAGGAGCTTAGGAAAGAGCGGGAGTTTTTAAAGAGATAGCAACCCAATTTCAAGGTGTTAAATTATGAAGTCAAATTTCTTTTAGGTCATATTTGATATATGTGTCATTTTTATAACAACTGAAGGTAACTGTTACTTGATTATACTTTAAAATTGCCCTAAGTGCCTGGAAAATATATAATACTGCCTCTTTAAAATGACTGACCTAATTCAACAGAGGTCCAGTCCAATTGGTGCTAGAAGTCTCACAATGAGTGGAATGCAGATCACTGGAGTCCAGTGCTGAAGCTGCTGAATACTGACTTGAAGAGGGTGAATATTTAAGCAGTCACTTATTTTATGTTACATATTTTTATTTACTTGCAATTGTTTTGCAGAAATCAGATTTCACTTTGAGGGGTTTTTTTTTTTTGGTCAAAAAAAGTCCCATTTTGTTAATCATGGTTGATTTGTAAAGTCAATTAAAATGCTAGAATCTCCAAGGGGGGTGACAACTTTTTATAGGCACTGCACATATGAGGATGACTATGTTTAACAACAGATCAAAACTCACCGTTGCGTGCGAGTATGTTAGTGCGTGATGCAGGCATGTTGTCCGGGAAGTCGATCGTTTCGTAGAGTGACTGGGAGAGTTGATCATCATCGTCGTCCAAAGGTGCATTCACAGGAAGCTCCGACATTCCTGAACTGTCCTGTCGAGGGACAGACAACAGCGTATGTTACTCTAAAATCTCATAGCTAATACCTGGAGTTAGCAGGTGTCTTGCAACACCGCAACATTCATCCAACTTATATTAAAAAATTGGGCAAAAAAAGTGTAAAAAAATTTGTAAATGGTATACTATAAAAATCTGAAAAGTGTGGCATGCAATAACAATGATGTCCAAACCAGACACCAGCCCATTTTACTCTGAACCCACTGAATAAAATGTATTAAAACAACATCCCCTTGGATTCCATATATGTCGCCATTTCATCTCAGTACAATTACAGCTGTTGAATTGCTTGCCGTGGTTTTCTGATTTGCATTTGTAAAAAAAAAAAGCAAAAAACATCTGTATTCCCGTCCTCCCACTAAAATATTATGCACCACACTGTGATGGTTGTCACAGTGTGTGGAAACTTGCAAAGCATTGTGTGTAAATTAATTTATAATGATATTTCTCTGCTAAGAGATGTTTGTGTTCAAACAGAAACAGGCCATCTTATCTTTCTCAGTGTGGCTTTGTCCCAAGAGTGTTTTTGCTAAGCTATAATTTGTCATAACAATAATGAAAAGTGAAAAGTCAACCTGTAAAACATGCTAGACAGAGTTTTAACCGAACAACAAAATAAGCAAAGTGTACGAGGATGGACTGTATTCATACAAAGAGAAAGAAAACCTCAAATGTCACATGGTTCTTAAGTTGTGTCATCAATATTCAGGGACGACGGAACCGAGGCCTGAGTATCCATCTCAGTTTAGCTCAGTATTTTCCAGATCAGCAGTGTGAAACAGGTCCAGCAGGGAGTCCAAGCTGGATAAAGCTCCATGGATTTCCCACAGGCCAACAGACAGCTGTCGCTAACAATGAGCTTGAGTAAAGGGACCAGTGACATTTGCCATGTGGTCGATGTTCTGCACTGCTGGTCCCTGAGCCCGCCGCACACTTATTCCATGAGCCACTCCTTGTATGGGGACATGTCTGGTTTGGACACCGCTGCTGTTGAGCAAATGTAGAGCTTTGACTGATAATAGTTTATCAGCCATTTCATTTCAGGACAAATCTCATGGAGTTGCAAATGTGGTTTCAAGGATGCATTCACACCAGTCCTTTTTAGTTTCTTTCCGTTTTTATCAAACTCTAGTTTGTTTGGCTAGAAAATTTGGTTTGTTTTGTAATCAAGCTGTGAAGAGAAGCAATGAATAATGTTCTGCCGAAAAACCTAAATCTCAGTTTAGCTGAAGTGAACTCTGATGGAGTTTGAATGTCAAGAGGACCAGAGACCGATCCAAAAGCTGGCAGTGCACTATAGCACAGGGAGTTCTGGGTAAATACAACCAAAGCAAACTTGCGAGTCAGGTGCTAGCAGGACAATGGCGCGTTGTCTTTTACCTAAGACATAAGAGAAATCCTACATCGGCTGAAATCTGACGCTACTCCATTTTTGTTTACATCTTTTTGAAGAAGAAAGTTGTGCTGGTGTTTTCTTCTGAAGTTTTTATGTCACTTCCTTCAGGAGTTCTTTGTGCAGCGCCACCACAGGCGAGGGGAGAGGTGACACCAAAAGGTTTGGTTTGATTGACGCAGAGCAGCTAAAAATGTGACGAATGTTGCAAATCTAATCCCCAATCAAACCCGATTAAAACACCTTTCATTCCTTATAACCTGTTAGTTTATCGCACTTCTGTACCATAAGCTTGAATCCGTAACATCCTGACTAGTACTGCATAGGGACAACACTCTGTTAGCTTCGTCACAAAGAAGAGTTAAAGAGCCGATATTCTGGAGGAGAGAGGAGAATAAAATGGAGGAAAATTAGACCTTCGAGTAAACAAAGAAGAAGGACCCGTGCGGGTTTTGGAGCCGAGGCCCCGGAGCAGCGAGGGTGCTGCCAAGCGGTCTCGATGTGCGCGCAATATGCCGGGCTACGGGGTCAGGGGTACTTATTGGCTGTTTAATATAAATAAGAGGTTTAATGTGGTTGAAAGCACAAAATCTGATCAGAACAGCATGTTGATAAGAGCGAGACGGGAGAGGAGCGGTGCCTGTGCACGGCTGGGTCAACACAATTACAATCAGAGTCACGGCTGCAGCCAGCCTTTTAATGAAAACCATCTCCCAGGAAAAATTAGACTCAGTAAGGTTCAGATTGCTGAAATGAAGACTTACTTAACTTACATTCTCACTTCTGCTCGACTGCTGTCTGCAGTTTTTTAATATGCACTGAACTTTGACCGTGTGGAGGAGAGGTGTCGGGGTTTGGGTGTTTACTTGTTTAAGTCGGAAATTATAAACCAAAACCCTCATTTGACATTTAGCGTACATCTCAGAAAACAGATAAAGTGCATTAGTGTTTATATTTTAACCTTTTCACATTTTAGAGTGTTACAACCAAAAAGCAGAAAAAGATACATGACTTTCTGTGAAGAAAAATATGTAGTTTACATTAATTGTACTCCCTTTACTGTACTACCCCTAACAAAAAAATCTGCCAAAAATAACAAATTAATTTTTTAGCCAACATGCACAATGGTGGGAAATCAATACTGAACTTTACACATATTTATTTAAAAACGAGCTGATGTTTATACTATATTATATACAGTCCTATTAATTCAATACTCTTTCCATTTTTGATGATAGTTCAATAACATCGGGACCTGACTGACTGCACAAGTTGGACTCTTGAATCCGGAACCGCAGAGAAGAAGAGGAGGAAGAAAAGCCCAGAAATGAAGAAAACCTTGTCTGGGAAAGAGAGAATGGTCAAGAAAAAAAGAGCACTTCTTTGGTAATACTTGCCATTCAGAGAAAAGTGTAAAAAGTTTAAAAAGTATACTTTTTTTTTTTTTTAAACTTTGCACTTCCATGTTGGCGCATGCACAGTATGAGACGTTCAGGTACATTTGGTCTAAATCTGCAAAGCTGTAAGAGAAGTACCCTAGGAGACTTTCATTTGTAAACAGTTTAAAAGACAGTAATTATTTTTTTTTTTTTTTTTTTTTTACAAATATGTGATACTTATTGGTCTGACATTTCAAAAATCATTGCAGACTGTAAGCTATACGTACAATGAAAACACTAACAAGTAAGATTTACTTTTTAAAAAATCCTTAAGTCAATTTGCATTAACATTTTTTATGTAAATTGAAATACCATGAATTCAAGTATTCCTCACTTGTTTATATCTAGTAAATTATACGAAGCAGAAAGCTAAATATTTTTGAAAAAAATTTGGTAACTTACTTAGTTCATCTAGATCTTGCTACATGCATTTAATCAAAATAAAAATATTGTTTTTCTAACAAAAAAATGTGCTTAATTTCTTTTGATAAATGCTAGCACCAGTACATATATGTACACACACACACACCCACACACCCACATACACACATACACACACACACACACAATTATATCAACTGACGCCGTTCCAACCCCACAAACTCTTACAATATGGAGAAGTTCGAGGTTCATGAATGCTTTTGCGCAACATTGACTGTCTGAGCTTTGCAAGTTGATTTTCAAACGTGTTTTTGCCTCACAGAACAAACAAATGCTGGAATTTGTGTGAGGCCGATCAAATACCGCCGCAATTTAATCTCTGTTTATTCAGGGTTAATTAAGTGTGTTTTGTGCATGCTAAAGCTTCGGGTTTTGCTCATCCTGTTGACTGATTTGAATGTTTGCAGACAAGAGACAGTGTGCATGATGAGCTGTGACTTTTCCGTAAAAAAAAAAAAAAAAGATAAAAAATAATTCTGCTGCCACCAAAATTCCAACTGTCAGCTTGATGTTTCTCAAGGAATTATCTTTTCAAGCAACGTGCTGGTTTAGCTGAAACAGTTGGTTTTTGAAATAAAAACATGTTAAGAGTATTTTAGGTGCAAACCACCACAGTGGAGCACCCCAAAAATAAAACAAAAACTTGAAATCTAATAGAAATGAGTGGAATCAATATAAAAAAAAAAAACAACACCCTGCTTGGTAGTATCAAAGTGCTTTCAATTCAGCCCAACAAAATAACTTGATTAAGGAGCTTTGGTCCACAATTAGACTTGTTTTCAAGTGATATTTTAATCTATTCTCACCACAGCTTCACCTTATGCATTTAAACCATCTTAATCTAGTCATTTTCTGTGGATTACCCCGCTGATTGAGGGCAAGGACGGAGCACTGTGACTCACAAAGACTCCAAAATGTCTCGTTATCCAAGAATTTTTATTCATCGGAGTGAAAGAGTATAAATATCTTGTGCACGTTTTACTGCACTGAGAAGTTATTTGTGGTAAATGCAGCATCATATATATGTGTTGTTTGGGGGGCGGAAGGGGTGGGTTCCTGTGTCAGCGTCTACCTGACCTTGAGTAATCAGCGAGGAAGAAGAGGCAGTGTGTTAAAAGGTTCGGCCTTAAGCTTTCAAGCACTGCTGATAATGTCTCATCCACGGTCATTTCCGAACCCTCTATCCTGGTCTCAGTCGGTTGCCGTAACCCTAATCCAGTCTATCTCCGCCATAATGCTGTAATTACATTCTCTAAGCTGCTGCATTCTACCCAGGGCACAACTCGCCTCTCCTCTTCCAGCTCGATGTCGGGTTTTCATTAGCCAAACACATCCAGGCAGAGCCTCGCCTAATGCCAACGCTTCCAAAAGTGAGATTTTACGGTCTTTTCTGGAGTTCAACGCAAGACTTGTCTTCCCCCGTCTCTCATTATCCACTTTACTGTCAATTCACAATTAAATAAACGTTTAATAACATCTTAAAAATCAAAGAATGGGCATGTAGGCAGAGGAAAGGCTTTAGCCGTTCAAAACCTCTTATTGTTGAGAAGCTAAGCTAAGCTAGGTTGGCGACATCAACTAACTCTCCCAATTTAGTTTCATTTATTAACATATTTGCTTTTACCAACACACCTTACACTGACGGCATGTTATCTTGTCTATCATACGTCAAGGAGTGGTGATGGCGGAGTGTGCTGCATCAT